TTTTCTCTGCTGCTCTTAGGTTTAAGGCTTCTGAGGTGTCTCATTCACGGGCACTTTACAAGGTACGGTAATATCAATGCATCCTTCTTGGAAAAAAGATTATGTTACTTGCAAAGACAAAGCTCAGATATGCTTTAGACCACAGACTCCCACTATGGACTCCAAGTCCTGCTGCATGCAGTGACTGCCTGATTTTTAAATTGGAAAACAGACTTAGTGAAGCTCAGCTTCAAGTTAACTTAAAGAGCTTATAACATCTCCTGAAAACGCTTTTAACTAGTTTCTAAATTTATACTTATCTTTGAACTGGAATAAGTGCCATTTTAAAAAGATGGTAAGGAAACATTCCCAATTTCTGCTCACCAACAAATAGATACAGTCCTTCCTATCGATGCTAGGTTTGTGTTAGAGCTGGCAGATGTCAGAGTGGCCACATCCCTCACCAAGCACTAGAATTTGAGTCTTCAACTGGTCTTGCAGGGCCCCAAAAACTGCTCAGAAACTGATTAATTGTCAGCAGAGATCTGCCTACATGGATTTGTGGATACAAAACCACACATGTACAGCCAAGAGGAAGGTGTTACAGCCAGTACATTCCCACTGCTGATACTGAGTGAAAACACAGTCTTTTCTGTGTTACTTGTGATGAATACAGAATGAAAGGGTCAAATCCAAAAGCTAATGGCTGGTCAGAGATTCAGCTGGGCGAGGGTTAAGATCAAGTCTTGTGGAGTCAGGAAAGAGAAAGGCCCCAAGTGTCCTCAAAATTTCCATATGACATTTAGGTATCAATAACGGCATTGTTCGGGAGCAAGAGCTCATTTTCTAAGAAAGGCAGCTTGCTCCTTGTGGACCACGCTCCCTGTAGCTGAGGATGCCAGGCTGCTCCTTGGCAAGGATCTTGTTAGTCCATTTAAAAAATGCCCAAGTCAAACGAGGTATAAACCAACATTGTTCCTCTCACATTAAGACACACCAATTTAATCCTGCAGAGGACACTGACCTGAAAATGTTTAATGAAGTCAACATTTACAGAGAAAACTTTTCTTATGCTGAATTTCCAAAAGCTTCTAGCGTTTTTGTAGTTTATTTTTCATCTAAAAATCCATTTGCCGTTTTTTTTTTTTTAAGGATTATCTCTTAATCTTACCCTGTTACAAAATGTATTTATAATCCACATGGCAGTTACTTAGCAAGTCTTAAACCTGTCATTAAAATACCTCCTCTTGTTGCTACAATCAGCAGTCTTAATCCACTGCAAGTCTCTTTTTTTCAGTTTTTTCTTTTCTCACTTTGTTCCCAAATGGCTTAAACCAAGGTATGACAGGTAGCAAACAATCCCCCCTCTAATTACTTGGAAGAAACAAATAAAGGGAAGGAATATGTGTGTGTGGCAAATTCCTGAGAGTTTGGAAACTAGAGGCCATAGGAATGTGCCCTGGGAAATTTTAAACCCACTCCAAAGCTGTGGGTTTGAATAGTGGTGGATTTACTCCCTGGAAGGCATTGATGGGGAAAGGTACTGCCAAAAGAGGGAGTGGCTGTGAACAGCTCCAGACGTGCAGCCCCAGTGCTGGGGAGAGGATGAGGAAGTGAGGTCTTGCACGGGAGGATACTCATCATCCAGATCCAGCAAAATATATGTTGAGCTTTCCCTGGAAGTGCTCGGCAAGCTACAGGCGTGGCAGTGCCTAAATCCCTCTCATCACCGAATTCCCTGGAAAAGCCCAGGGTTGGGAGCTACAGGTACGGTTGGACACCGGTGAGTAGGAGGGCAAGCGGTGGGAAGCAGAAGGACCACATTGCTGGAGAAGTGGGTGTGAGTATCAGGGGAAAAAAAAAAAAAAAAGGCTGGAAGCAGGATGTCTGATTCAGGGGAAAAAAAGATCCTGAATTAGAGTAAAGCAGAGAAAACACAGCAGCTCTGCAGTACATATTACTGGAAGGGGAAGGAATAAGGTGTCACTCGATCAGTGCTGTAGCAGGATGTGGCACTAAGCACAGGTTAAGTGCATCAGGCAGCTCCCACCTTCTTGAAGCTCAAGGTTTGTTTCGTATCCAACCCTATCCCAAACGTGTGTCTCTGGAGGGGTGGTATCCATAACCACTCCCAGCATGTGTTCTCTGTGAAGGTTTTTAGGGGGGAAAAAAGGGCTCACTTCCCCTGTCCCCAGAGACCCCACACTGCCCTGGGAGCTCCCAGGCAAACACAGCACTGGTTTGAAACGAGATATTGCCTGTACAAAACTCTTCAGAAGATAATTCAGCTGAACTGGGGTTTTTTTAAAGGCATTAAGTCCGTGAACTTTTCAATCTAAAACAATGCCACAATGACCACGTTGGGAATAAGGCATTATGGCCCTTCTTGGAGACCATGTGTTGAAGTTGTCTTATTAGTAGGGAGACACTAACGCAATAAAGGAAAGCATTGTGGCCTGGAACAGCTGGGCTTTTCTAACTGCTTGCCTAAATGTGGATGATTAATGACCAAAATGCATCCTTGCTGAATGGCATTGAGAGGCTGGAGGTATTTCATGGCATTTTCCTTTTCCCATTTTTGTAAGAGATTTGTTGCAAACAAAGCTCCATTGATGTAGGTCCATTACAGATATGCAAAGTGAATACCGAATTATTGCCTATCTGATGGGTGACAAGAATGTTACTTTGTTGCTGCATGTTTTATGCTGCAGGATCTGAAGATGCTCAAAAAGCCGCTCGGTGCTTTTGGAGACTGGAGCTACTCAAACATTTTAATGAGATTTGTTGTCATTGTTGTTGGAAAATGCTGCTCCATCCAAACCAAAATGTCTTGCAGTGAAATAGTTCCATTAATAACATTTCCATGGGAAAGTTTTCAGAGTTTCTGGGGTCAATTTATTAGCAGAGAAGAATCTAAATGAGAACCCTGATCTTCTCAATCTGAAACCAGATGTTTCAATGGCAGCAACAAGAACAACAACAACGAAAAAAAACGTTTCAGGGATGCGTTTGAAAAGTTTGGTTCTTGTTCCACACTGGAATGAAAACATATTTCTGGACCTCAAAACCCTTCGTGAAGGTGCACTGCTGATCTCTGGCTGCCTCAACCAGAAGCTTCATGGCCCATAAGAGAAGGGGCTGGCATATAAGTCCTTTATTAGTCCATGCCATGGCTACCCACCCCACACTTGGACTTGGGTGGGAATGTCACCCATCTGCTGCTGCTGTCTCTGCTACTCCCCATCTGCCCAGAAGCCTCTGGCAGTGCAGAAGAACTGCCTGAGATCGTGCCTTGCTTTTCTTCACCTGCTGAAATGTGCAACATGGTTCACAAAATAAAAAGCAGAGCTTGTTTGGACCTAGAAACAGCCATCCGAGGGAGATGCAACATTGTGGTTCCATGGGATATGAAATACTATTGTCAAATAAAACCACAGAGTAGGTTTATAATATAGTTATCAGGAGTGCATGTGAAAGACAAAGGCTGGAAAAGTCTGCAAGAAATGTCCTAATTTCCCAGTAGCCCCCCTCAGTGTTATTATCTAACACCACCCCACGGCTGCCAGCATGCAGATTTGTGTCTCATCCATCATTGCTGCACCAGCAATGAGTTGGGGACTCATGGCTGGTAGAAGATATCCGGACAGGGTGGGTGGATGCATCCAGGTGGGATGGGGCCCCAAGTTCCTTTAGGGTGGGACTGTCAGTTTTTAGTTTCTTGCTGACACTGTGTGCACAATTGCAGGTTGATGGGAAAGAAAGAGCAACATTTTGGCACCATTTCTACTAGCTGACCCTTCTCTCCCCACAAGCAACATGTGTGCATGACAATTTCCTTCACCTAAAGGTACTGCTGCAGCCAGGAAAGGTATATCTTGGATTTATCCAAGGCACTCAAAGGCAAGGTTTTTTTCTCCTCAGCCATCATGTTGGCTTTTATCATTCAACAGGCCATGGAATTGTTTTCCCTAACATCCCCTTAAGAAGGATGTATTTTTCAAAATACTGCCATTCCCTTCTCTTAAACAGGTTTTGATGTGGCTACTTCAAATCAAAACCATGAGCTTTCCTCTCCTCACGCCCACCGACTTAAAACCTGCCCTCAATGCCAGTGGTTCAGAACTATCCAAATAAAGCAGTTGCTTTAAGGAGTGTTTGCTTTTCCTCTTAGGCTCCTTCTCCCGACGCTATATTGTTTGTGGAAAAAGAGTTCTCTGGGTGGGTCATTTAGCTGTCATGGTTAAGAAGCTGTATTTGAAGTCTGGTTCAGTGTAGAAGAAAAATATGTCAAAACAGCCTTGAAAGTACAGTTCCCTCCCCCCCCCCCCCCATGTCAAGATGTTACCTTTTTCCCTCCATGTAAAAGCTCTTTCCCATGAAAAACAGCTTCATTTTGGAGCTGGGTGGCTCCAAAATGCAGCAAACATTACACTCTTTTCATACCAGGAAAACAAATTACTTCTTGAATAAAGCCGTGCCTATACAGCTCTGCATTTTAACTTTGTTTGAACACTTGCTCCCAAATATCTTTATATCAGGGAAACATGCTTAATTATTCCTGAGTAATTTTGCCTGCTGGACTGCAGTTCCTCAAGTAAATGCTATATGGGATTTTCTTGACGATGATGTTTTTTTTCACTTGAAATCACGCCAAGGAACAGGTTTCCCTCTTCCATCTTCCCCCTCTACCTTTTGACTTTAAAGCAGATTCTTGGTGTTCCTTAAGTAAACACTCCTCCAAGATACTTTTTCACCGAGTGGCATGTACGTCCTGAGCCAAAAAATGGCATTAATGCATTTTTCTTCTGCGGCTTTGGAATGACGCGCATCTAATGTGAATGCGTGTTGCCTCGGAGAATGCTCTGTTTTCTATTCTCGTGTTTGATTCTCTGCAGCTGGGAAGCCACGTTTCACAGGTGGTTGGGAAGCTTATTAGATTATTCATAACTGGTTTTATTTATTTTTTTCCTCCTTTTCTTTTTTTTCTTTAAGCAATTAAAAACATGTGTTAAAGGAGCCTGTGATGATTAGAAGCACTGCTGACATCTATTTCCCAGTTACCTTTTGCTGTTTTCACTCAGTAGCTGGTACCTGTAGACACCGCTTGGAGACCCCATGAGCCAAAGGAGCAAGAAGTGAGTGTTATTCCTCTTATAAATAGCTTATATAAAATAAAAAAATATTTTCTAAGGGTTTATCAGGGTTTTCTGTGTGAGAAAATTCTGTTGTTTTCCTGGGAACGAGCAGCAATCACAGTAATAATGATGACAATGATGATTAATGTTTTCAGGCACTTTTTCTGCTGATGATCCCAGAGCAGCAACAAACTCTGGGCAAGCAGCAGTTCATCTGAATATGAATTCCTGATCCATGGCAGTCTCAAAAGAGGCACATACATTAGGAAGGGGAAGAGTACTGAGGGAATCACTGAGGGGGAGAACTGAGCCAGCAGAAGAGGCTTGCTCCAGGCCCCACTAACATCAATCCCTGCATGAAATTCAGTCTGGACTACCAGGCTTTGCAAGCCTCCATCGGGATGGTCCAGACCATGTGTGAACCAGATACCAGTCAGCTTCTCTTCCAGAGGAGGACTTTGGTAATTCTCATGTGGCCTGTTTGGCTCTGGGTTCCCAGAGGAGCCCAGACTGACTTTTCAGAGGTGTTGAGCTTTGACTGGCTCAGGTTCAGGCTGCGCTTCACTCCTCGTGAATAGTCAGACCCCAAAACACTGAGCTGATTTTCAGAGAGGGACTTCGAGCAAAGGAAATTAATTCAGTATTGTACATTGTACACAGGCTTTTTAAAGGACATTTGTTTAAAAAAATTAGAATTCATATTTGGTTGAGACTGCTGGATTCTTAAATGATTCATGCATGCAATGGAAAGAGAAATGCTGAAAAGGTCAGGGATAAATATCAGAAGTAGCAGTGTTGACAGGAGGCACCACAGCAAGAAGGTCTGGTGATGTACTACTTTGCTGATCACCACTCTGAAGTCTGAACTCTTCACTTCAGGAGCAAATTCATAAACCCTTACACAAAGGCTGCCCAGTCTACCCAGTCCAGCCCTACAGACAAAGCAGAGAAGCATTTCAAATGGAGATCACAGAATCACAGAATCATACAATGGTTTGGGTTTGAAGGGACCTTAAAGATCATCCAGTTGCAATCCCCCTGCCATGGGCAGAGGCACCTTCAGCTAGACCAGGTTGCTCAGAGAACTATCCGGCCTGGCCTTAAACAGTTCCAGGGATCGGGTATCCTGCTTGGGGAGATGGGATAGGCACCCAGCATCCATGTGGGCTGCAGTGATGGGACCTCTGCCTTTGTCAGGCAGAGAAACATCTTCTCACATGCCTAACCCAGTCGGCCCATGTTGAGCTATTCCCCAGCTATCCACCCTCCTCCAGAGCATTGCCCATCCCTGGAGTGGTTCACACCAACACCTCAGGCAGAAAATCTTTGTCTCCCTCTTCCTCACAGTGTTTAAGTGACAACTACATCTCCCTCTTGGCTCTCACAGTGCAGCCGCCTGTTTCCACAATCAGCCCGTAACTCCCTCCTGTTCTCCAACTCTTCTGCTGCTAAATAATTCAAATTATGAAAAGTTTCCTTTTAAAATGCTTCTGGCTTATTAGTACCCTTCATGCATCACAATTTTCTGTATTGTCTCCCTCTCTGCCTTTGAGTCATTTCTTATGCACAGGAAACAAGAACAGGATGGCAAAGTTTGCATGAAATATCTATTCTTGCCAGACTGCTGACTCAGGCTATGCTCACAAACAGTCCAAACACTGCAAAATATATAAACTCACCACTCCTCCAGCTGCGCATTTTCCCACTCCAACCATCTGCCATCACTTGTTTGCACAATCAGCTTCTTTGGAAATCACCCACCTTGAGAGGACCTGCTTTTTGAAAATATCAGTGGGAAAACAACCATAAAAACGGTTTGGACAGCAGTGGGTGTCTGAGGTTGAGTACACATTTTCACCCAACCTCACCCTAGCTATGTTGAAGTTGTGGGATGTGCTGCCTGCATGGAAAATGTCCCTGAGAGCAGCCTGTTGTCATATTCAGTGGGCAGATACGCACTGGTGGAGGTTGCCATGAGCTGTGCTCCTTGATGACCTTTCCTTCACAGGCGGAAATGAACTTCTTCTCTTCATCCTGACATCTGCCAGCAATCTGAGGCTGCTCTGTACTGCACAGCTTGGTTTCCTAACGTTTTGGTGAGGAAAGATCACGTGGGATGAGCATAATGATATTTTCCAGTTAACCCACGGGTCTCACCTCTGGTTCTAATCACCTCATGGAAACCATCAGACACCTCTATGGTGTCTGATCAGAGGAGAAGCCAGACCCACTCAGCTATCTTATTTTTTTTTCCCCAAGGATTCTTCAAGCTTTTCTAAATTCCTGCTTTTAAAGAAAGGGTTTAGTGGGAAGGCTTCATTAAGTAGTCATGGAAACACCCAAGGAAAAGAAGCAAGCAAGTGAACAGCTAACTTATGGAAGTCAAACCTGGCCTCCCTCAGGGGAATCTGGAGTCATTCTGGAATTTTATTGTACAAATACCAGTCTTCTTACCCCAGAAGTCACCCACTTTCCTGTCCAGAGGTCTGTTCCTACTATTTCAGGCACTCCTCAGCTTTTTCACTTACAAGTTTAGTTTTCTGATACATTTCCCACAGGCTGAGCAGAGGTGCACCGTTGCTTACAGGTCTGTCCCTGATGCCCTGTGTAGCCTGTGGAGGTCACTAGCAGTGTCACTCCCAAGAACATGCTTTGCCAGCTTAATCAAGGCCAGATTCCCTGGGAGGGCTGTGATCCAGGAGACAATGCTTCCAGTCTCATCCATTTGGCGAATGCTGCCTGATGCTACACAGCCCCCATCTCTGCCCTGGCTGGGCCTATCCCCAGTAAAGATATTCCTCCAATTACCCTCAATGAGATCAGACCTTGTTCAGCTCAGAGTGATTCTGAAAATCCCATTTGTCTCATCTTCTTGGTCCGTGGGTTCCCCGAGGATGATATCACTTCCTTTGCCTGCACCAGAGGTGGAAATGCCTTGCTGCTCGCTTGTGTTCCTGTAGGATTTGTTGTCAGCATCATCAGGAGGCACAAATAAATAACAGTGTATGGCACCACCTGAAGTTTATTGGAGCCAAGATTGTGGGTTTAATTGGCTAAAGTGTAAGGAGAGATACACTGGGGTTTTGGGGATGACTGAATTCCTCGGTGGAGCGAGAAAACCCCCTCCTGCCAACAGCTGTGCCAGGGCTTATCTCCTTTCCTCCACTTCTGGTTTATTAATGTTAGATCCTGTTTGATGAGTATTAATGTTAGATCCTGGTTGATGAGCTGAGCTGCAAGCGGTGCCTGTGCTTCCCTGCTCAGATTGCTTTCACAAATGGTGTGACCTCTTCTTTCTCTGCAAATATCGTTTTATACCAGGATGTTTTCCAGTCTGCCCAGCTGCAGCAAAGTGATTTTTTCTGGAGGAAGAAGTCAGTCCAAGGTTTTGATGCAGCCTAAATGGGTAAGTTGGAGCCACAGGTTGCTGTCACACAGACTACACACTTCTCTTATGTTTCACTCCTAGATCACTCTTTTTCTGCAACTTAAGCTCTTTATTTTTCTTGCAGAGGACCTACAGTCACTGGTTCTACCTGTGCACGTCCCAGTTCACTCCCAGGGCTCAGCAAAGCCTCCCTCACTTCAGAGCTGGGAAAAGATGCTACTGTTCTATTAAAGCTAGAAAGAGCAGCTTGTAGTAGAAACTGCAGGAAAAAAGCTTTCTCTTCTCCCCCCTCCCCCCCATCATCCACCCCGTGGGTGCTGCTGCTCACCCATGTTTTCCCAAGCGTTTTCTCTACCTTATTTTCATGGAGTCAAGGAAGCAACTGGCTCTTTGGGATTTACATGCCTTTGAGGTAAAGGCAGAGCAGATTTGAGAGATGACTCTTCTCTGCTACCTGCTTCGTGGCTGGCCCTACAAACCATGGGAGAGGCATTTTGCAGCTCAAACTTTGCAGCTTGTTCACACTGCTGGCTGAGCTGACACCTTTCCTTTGAAATGGAGAACATGACAAGCATTTTTTTGCCCAATGTCTTGTGTCTTAATCCAATTTTTGCAGGGAATTAAAGAATTTTGTGGGCAGGTGTTTGGTTGGTTTTTTTTTATTTCTCCCCTGACCCACTTTGCTGCTGTGCTTGGATAAATAATTTCTGCAGGGTAGGATGTGCAGCCAAAGCAAGTAGCTTATGTCTTTTATCAGTAAAACAGTCATAAAAATTATCAGTTTCAGATTCACCTTGAGACAAAATTAAAACTATGTTCAAACACAAAGGAAAAATATCTCAAAAAAAACCCACATCAAGAGCCTGACTCCAAACTGGTTGGTTCCTTTCCAAGTTACTTGTGCTCATGTAGTAAAGTTGCGATTTCAGTGGAAGTATCAAGGCAAAGCTGGTGTTAAATCTGGAAGTGGTTTGCAACCAAACTTTGCCTTGTGGCCTCATCGGCCTTGTATGATTGATTCATCCCATGTTGTCCTTGTAGAGCTGATTGAAAAATGGAGCAACAGACGACTGTTGTTTTGATATAATATCACATTATTTCTGAGGGAGTCCTACAAGGGGAGAGAAGGGACATTATTCCTTGCTAATCCGGGCTGCTTGCAGGGCGCAGGCTGGAATATCTCAGGATTTGTTTTTGAAGTCCCTGCAGTCAGGTGGCTCTTGCACAGGCACAGACACATCAGTCAGCTCCTGATACTTCAAGATTTCTCTTTTTGCATTTAAATGCAAGAATGAAAAACGTAGCCAAGTACCTCCCTAGGAGACCTTGGTGGCTTTTGGCCCCCCATAAGGAGGAGTGATGAGATTCCTCTTTGGATACATAGTATCTCCTCCTGTGGCAGAACAAAAATGAGTGTGCTCCCACCCAAAGGCTTTGCAATAATTAACAAGACCTGGCCATATCTGAGCAGGCATGAAGTATGGAGACTACACAGTATGTTTCTCCTTTTTCCAGCCCTCTGTCTTTTTTTCCATTTGTTCCTTAGATGATGCCACTACAAGGAAAGATTTGGATTTTCCCTGTTAACATTAGAACTGGTCACCAGATACCCTAATCCCTCAGGGCTGTTACCTGATCACGTCTGCACACGCTGCCAGGCCCCCAAAGATGCCCATCTGCAGATCTTGAGAAGCCTAAATTTATGTCTTTCTTTGCTGACTTTAGATAATCACATAAAGCTTTGTCCATGCCCCAAGGACAGATAATAAAATAAACAGAGACATTTAGATAAAATGGAGGCAAAACATAACCTATTTAGTTAATGTAAGTAAAGGAGACATTTTTCACTTGTCATTAAATTTGAGTTGAGTCACTGTGTTGTCCCACCTTGCCCACCACTGAGAACCATTACAGGTTTCTTTTAGTATCTTAAACCAATCTGGTAAGGTAATTTCATTTCTTCTCAGCAACACTCGTGATTAAAAAAACCTCTCTTCCATTGTGGGAAAGACTGTTAAACATGTACTCATCTTCCCCAATAAAAGCCTTTCTGGGGATGCAGGGGAACGTAACATTTTCCAGTACTCACAACACTAGAATTTCACATAAAATTTTAATTCATCAGATATTTTTAATCCTGGAAACCTTATCTGGGTATGATGGTGTTTGTATATCATGTATCACACACACACAAAATGCTACTCAGAGTACACACACACATCACTTGCCAGGTATTATTTTGCACTTGGTGATGTGTTGCATGCATATATTGGTATATTAGTATGATTATATGTAGAATTAGTAGGATGAATATTAAAATCCTGCCAAGAGCAGAGTGCATTGCATGGGGGATCAGCACACTCTGCCGTTGTCTAAGCACTCCTGCTCTGTCCCTCTGCCTGGGATTGCTACATCAAGCACTGCACTCAGGTACTGGTGTCCCAGTCCACCCCATAAAGCACCAGTTCTGGGCTGAGTGGCTGCAGTGAGGTATCATATGCTTCCTTTGGGTTTTACATCCCCTTTCTTGAGTCCAGCCTATTTTTGGCTCCTTGAGGACTGGGGTTTTGTGGTTCCCTGTGTGAAAATGATGCATGGCAAGCTCAGCCCAGGCAGGTGAAGAGCTCGGTGGCCTCGAACTCAAGGCCAGCTCTTCTCTTTCCCATGACTGCATGCTCACCGCTCCATCAGCACAGATTTATTTCCATGCTCGATTTGTAGGAATAAAAGAGCCAGATAAGAAATATGTTTTTAATAGTAGTGTCACCAATGAATGACAAGGATCTCAATATGAACCATTAAGTAAAAGCAGGGGTGGAATGAGCATCATTTGTCTGTTGCCAGCTTCTCTCAACTGGCTTTCATTTAGAGGAGAAAAAATCCCCGATCATTTCTATTCAGGTAATAGTGAAATATATTTGTTGTCAGCAACAGGTCAAAATGCAGAGATATGTTATTCGCAGCAAGCTGACTTTACATTTTCTAACCTAAATGCTGGATTGCTTCCCTCAATTATTCACATATGTTTTCTGGTTTAATAATAACCCACATGCTGTCTCCTAAAGAAAACTACAGACTTCATGATGTTCAGGTAGAATACATAGGTCTGTTCAGCCATTTCTTGTTCCAGAAGCTGAACCAGCCAGTCTCAGAGATGAAATTAAAAGAGATGTCAGTATGAAGTGCATCTTGTTAAAATATAAAAATATGCAATTTACCCACCAAAGAGATTGCAAGTGGGGAAAGTTTTAATGATACAGTGACTTAAATAAGAAGCAAAGTGAGCCTGGTGGTCACACCATAATCACTAACCCACGTGTTCCTGCAGCACAAAAACACTCGATCATTCAGCGTGTTTGGAGGTGGCTGCCACTGTGCTCCAGCAGAACATGCTGCAGTCCATGATGGAATAGCATATATGTAATGTTACATGATAAATGGCCACACTTACTGCTTAGCAAGTGCTTGGTAGCTTTGATGTATGGTTGTCTGGTGTGTGGCACATGACAGAGAACTGCCGGGGACGAGGGTGTGCTCTGGTCTGAACAAACACAGCATCTCTGTTACGAGTGCTGGAGCTGCATGGCAGATGTCTGTCTTTCCTTCTTGCTCTCTTCCTTTCTTCCATCCTCTCTGCTTCAGGCTTTCTGCAAAGTAAATTACTTTTCTGCCCACATAGGTTTGGACACTTTTGTATCAGCTCAGTTGATGCTTTTTCTTACCCCTGGGCGGTGCAAAGTTTGGTTCACCTTTGAAACAGTAAAGGCAGAATTAAAATAACAAGTGTGAGCTGGCCTTGTGCGATGCCTCCTTGTACACTGCTTTGGAGTTACCATGTAAACAACGATCAGAGCCATGGCCAGGTTTTACAGCTGCTATTTAATAAAAAAATTATGGTCTGTCCCTCCATAAGAATGCTGTGGGTGGAGTCCATATAGGAGAAAAAGTGGCAGTGGGCATGGTTGGAGATGATAAGAAGTAATTTGTGCAGTAAGGGATGTGCCAGGCAAGAAATGAGAAGTGGGAATAGTCAGTCAGAAAGTCCCATTCCTGAAATCTCCTGCTCATGTCATCATTCATAGAAACATAGAAACACAGAATGTTTTGGGTTAGAAAAGACCTTGAAGCTCATCCAATCCCAAACCCCCTGCCATAAGCAGGGACACCTTCCACTAGATCTGGCTGCTTAAAGATCCATCCAACCTGACCTTGATCACTTCCAGGGATGGGGCATCCACAGCTTCTCTGGACAAGCTGTGCCAGTGCCTCACCACTCTCACAGGGAAGAATTTCTTCCTAATATCCATCCTAAACCTACTCTCTTCCAGTTTAAAGCCATTCCCCCCTGTCCTATCACTACATTCGAGTCTCATTTTCAGCTCTGTGGCAGCAGGGAGGTGTCAGTTCAGGAAACATCACCAGGGTGGGTGATGCTATGCTCATCACTGTTACAAATCCCCTCGTCAGGTGTTGTATCCAGAGAACTGGGCTGCTCACCAGTGGGGGTTTCAGTTTCCAACAGAAAAAACAAACGTTTTGAGAACACAGATGGTGTTGACGTAACCAAACCCCATGTTCTCCCTGAAAAAAAGTTTAGTGGGAGATTTTTAACCAGCACTTTCAACCAAGAGAGCTTAGCAATCCCCCAAAGATGAAAGACCAAGGAGTTTCAGATTCCCCTCCTCCCATGCATCACCTCTGGGTGATGTCTCAGCAGTCAGGCATTAAACAGTGTCCTGCGACTCATGAGCCCCCGTGTTCCTGAAGAGATCACTTTCAAGTGTAATGCAGTAAAACCTCATATGATTTCCATATGTCCTGCTGCCTGAATATTTTGCAACTGATTCACAATGAAAAAAACTTATAAACACATTACCTTGGCAGGAACAATTCTTGAAGTAACAGGAGATGTGATAGCAGAGACTTTGAAAGGAGGTCGTTATTATCCAGTAGCATTTTTCTCCATATGTCCATGAAATTTATGTCAATGAGTCACATCCTTTCAAAACAAAGAATGAAAAGTGCCCTGTAGGACAGGTGAGCTCCTCCCCAAGCCTCTCCATGACTATTTAGCTCCAGAGCTGCTTGCAGCACTGCCAGCAAGGCTATTAGCTGAACAAGCCACAGATCCAGATGCCTTGGCTGGGAAAGAAAATGATCCAAGCTTCGACATATGGGTTTTTCTACAGCTGTAGCCACAAGTGCTGACTCCTTTGCTGGAGGACACAGAGGGGCCAGATGGAAAGAAACGCAACACCGCCACTGCTGCCCACAAAACCGGACAGTTCAAGACAGCCGGTGATGGAACAGCACACAAGCTTCCGACAGCACGTAACTGGCCATGTAAGCATGGCTCTGGGGTGAGAGCTCCTGTGAGCTCCAAGTGTTGTGCAAAGGATGCAAAAGCCTCAAGGTCTGCCAGTCTGGGCCTCCCCAGCATTCCCTACATGTCTGGGACATCTCAATCCTCTATGCTGATTTTGATGCTTGTGATTATTTTCTTTCTAAAATAACGACCTGTTTTATTGGTGTCGGTTCTGATACTCCTTAGAGAGACCTGCTT